ATCCAACCGAACCCCACTCCCCCCCACTCCCAAGACCCAGCATCCAGGTGTGTGGTGTGTGTGTGGCGTGGTGTGCATGTGTGGTGTGCATGGGGTGGGGTGAGAAAATGTGAATGGGGAGGGAAGGGAAGAAATGAGGGACCACTGACCGATCACGTCACCACAATAAACATTGTTTTACTCGTTAGAGGTTCTTTTAGTTTATTGAATAGTTAAGATAAAATGAGGTTAATGTATATAAAAGCCCTTGTAATTAAACAAATGTAATTTTTCATTATTCTAATACACTTGTTCATAAGAGACACATATGAATAAAATAAATAAATAAAAAAGGATGATGCAATGAAATTACTACTTAAATACACACCATATACTATTTTGCCTCACGACAATATAGTTTGACTTTTCAGCTTACAATATATTTAAAACTTGATTCAAAAGAAAAATATTCCTTTCCTTCAGAGAGATACACACAGAAACCTCAGTGGCTTTCTTCTTCTGAGTAATAACACACAAAGAAGAGTGGACACCTACCACGCATTTTTCAGCGGTGTGCCTGTCCTGAACTGCCTCCTCTGCCACCATTGCCTATAGAACAGTTTCTCCAATATGGTCAATCCAATTGGTTTCTTCCTTCTCGTTCTCATTTTTATGACATCTCTCTTTTGAAAAATTTTTGTATGCTGTGTCTCATTCTCTGAGTTCCTCTCTACATCCACACTGGCTCTTTCTTCAAAATAAGAATACTTCTGCTTTTCTTCCTTATTTTCATTAATCTTTTTTTTTAATATTCAGTTTCTTTCAATTCTTCAAACCCAGGTGTTGTATGTGTATGAAGTTTCTCAACCAAACCTTTTTCACTCATCCTGTAATTCTCGTTCTGTTCAAGTCTACCCAATGGCCTCAGGCTCTATCAGACATAGCCAACTTGTGAAGTTTCATCTTTTCTCCCAGCTCCCACCGTGATAGGCTGGTAAGGCTTCTTAGCTGACCAATATTTCCATCTGGATACCTAATTTTCATGTGTATACAAACTCATTATCCTTCTCCCTTTTCCTCCCAAACTTCTTTTCCTCTTCTTATTTGTTGCTCTTGGTAGTCAACCAAGTACTACAAGTACAAGAAAGAGAAATCTTGAGTCAATGGTCTCCCCCACTCTTCCTCACTCTGTCCGCTTCATTATCTATTAAGAGGATCTACTGATTCTATCTGGAAACGTCACATCTATTCTCCTCCTCCATCTTAATTTATGGTCTTCATTTAGGTCATTATGAAAGTATTTTTGCCTCTTAACTATCTTCTCTGGCATGGTCTCTGTGGCTCTAAACCATCCTGCCATGATGTCGGTGAAATAAAACACTTCCTCTACTTTTTATGCCTACTCTTTAACTGAAAATCAACTCCTTCTAAACTCTCTCTGATATGGCATGTGAGACCTTAACTAATTTCTTTCCAACCTTGCTTCCAGTAACTCACATGGACTTCTCTCTCTAGAATGAGCAAGCTACACACTCAATTTCATGTCTCTAGTCTGGTGTTCCTCTACCTGGGAAAGCATATAAGTTGCCTTTTCACGTCAAAAACTGTAACATCTTTTTGGGCCCCATGTGATATATTTCCATTTTCTATAGTTACACACTTTCCCTATCCGCCTTCCAGAGAGAATTAATCCCTTCTTCAGTACTCTTCCAATGCTAATCCAAAATACCAAATCTCTAAGTATTATAAGTTTATCTCCTCCATTACTGCATGACCTAAGGGGAAAACAGTTAATTTAAGTTTTGGATCACCTATGCTTCACCAATGCCTGGCCACAAAGGGTACCCAATAAATACTGAAATGGAACAGACTTATTCCTGATCTATGCAACAAGGTATGGATCACTTTACTTAATAATCCTCATCTAGATTTGTTAAATCAATAAATTATTTGCTTTGGATAATAGTGAAAATATACCTAAGATGAATTTTGTCCATTATAATCCTTTATTTTAAGTAAATCACAATTGTCTTTGTCGCTAGTTTAGAGGAGGCAGGAAACAGTTGTGTAAAAATCCAGCTTCAATATCTGTAAAAATACATTGAAATCAAATAAGAGACCTCCCTTACTAATGCTATTATAATATCAAGGTAAAATCATGGCATATACAAAAGTTTTTGTATATTAAAGAGTTAAAGACATTGTGAAGATTAAAAAATAATATTAATTCAGCGTAAACTTTAAGGAAAATAGATAAAGTTAAAGGGTCAAAATGTAGCACTAAATCACAAGTCATGAAATATTTTTTATAACTTCCAGAAAGTATCTGAAATAAATACTAACTTAATGAAATTATAATTTGTCTCTGCGGATCAAATATATATCAGGTATAATGTATAAAGTAGTCTGTGGGCGAACCTGCCTGGAAGCTCCTCACCTGTTTTTTTTATAAAGACAGTTTAATAAATAGTACAGTCGTACTCTTTTGTTTGTGGTCTTTCCTGTCTGCTTTTGCTGTAAAATAAATTTGGCAAAGTTGAGGTAGGTTGCAGAGACTGCAACATTACCACAAAGTCCATGTTTGTTCATTCATCTCAACCTGAAGAAAACCATGGGCTTCTGGGTGGCGAACGGTTACCCCGACTTCAGCTGGTCACGACATCCTCATGTCCATGAGCCCCATCGCCAGTTTCCTGGCTGATGAGGTTCCGAGCCTGAGCTCAGCCTGATGCCCTCCTCCTGTGTGTCTCCCCTCTCTCTCTGCCCCCTCCCCCTGCTCATGCCTGGCTTCTGTCCCAAAAATGGCCAACAAATAAATCAAGAAAAAAAAAAAATTTAAAGAAAACTAGCAATTCTGCTATAATCAGTCAGGTTGGAAATCTAGCTGAAAACCAAGTCGTTGTTTTAGAAGGGAGGGATTTTTTATTATTCTAGAATTTAGAATCTTTTATGCACAGAAATTTTCTTCTCAAAATCAAAAAAGAATAAAAAAAGAGCAGTACGAGGATAAAATAGATATGAAGCATATTGATATGGCACAAAGAAGATGAAGATAATCTGATTTGAAAAGAATAAATGATTTAATTTTATACCATATGCTAGACTGATTATTCTTCATTAACTAGAAAAGGAGTGCGGCTTTTGTATTATGTAGCATGTCACTACCTTCACCTCTTCATTGCTTCAATAAAAGTAGAAACTGCACTCCTTTTCCACAAGAACAAGCGTGCAAAAGTTAAATATCAATTTGTTTTCTTTTAAAAAAATGGCGATGGGAGGGAAGGAAAGAGAAGAAGGAGAGAAGGGAAAAGACGCAGAGAGCAAACCTACTGTACCTCATTCTCTAATTCTGATAAGGAAGCCACCTCAGGTACCAAAAATTAAGGCCATCTCTCGGACGTGGGAAAAAAACTTGTCAGGATGGCAGGATGTACAAGATGGAGAGTTCAGGTCCTGAATTATTCTGTGGTAGAACCTCCCCGCTTCTAGAAGAATCCTTGGATAAAAGATTTTTTAAAAGATAGCAAGAGTTATTTCACCAATACGCTGGCAGGAATGTGTGTGTGTGTGTGTGTGTGTAATGGATAATAAAAGAATTCGGGGAAAGACTGCTTAAAACCAAAAGTGCAAGTTGATTTTCAGATGTACAAAAAACATGAATGTAAGTCCAGAAATGATAGATTTTATCACCATTAATCACTTAAATTCACATATAAACCAAACCTTCATTGTTCTGCAGATATGACTCACTTATAATCAAAATCACTATTCAGAAGAAATTTAAAAGCACAGGTATGGGCAGACAAGATTCATTTGATCTGAGAACATGCTTTTTAGTCATTTGGCCCTCCCCTTTCTCCCGTGTCCTCCTCTTTTAACCGCCAGATTTTTACAGAGAAGTTGTTTCTTCTTTGGAGCAGGAACACTTTATGATATGAAGGAAATATGACTATAAATTAGTGACACTAATTCCACAAGTCACATTAAATCAATTTCAACTTTTCTATATGTGCTAAGTGAAGCAGAATCTCAGCAAGGTTTTGTTATTGTCAACAGAAACACAATTCAAATCAGAATACAATTTTCCCTTTTTATAGAAATACCGATAATGGCTATATTAACAGCAAACACTTGTAAACCGGTGGCAAATATGTAAAAACCTTTGGTAGTACCAGTGCTTATATTATTCAACATTTTTTTCTACAAAATATATTCTCTAGTTATAGAATAAAATAATTTTAAAATATCAGCTTTCTGATAGTTTATTGTGGTATTTAGACACATTTTAGTTGAGAATGTCTATTAGTACATTAGTAACTTTCTGCTGAAGACTAAGTAGGTCTCTCAAAAACTACATGGTAACATATATCCTCTTCACTTTTAAACCACAGCAAGTAAGAGGCACCATCACAACACAAAGCCACATACCATTATTCAAACTTAAATGACAATGTGCTCTCATAATTAAAATAAGTTTTGAGACATGGGTGTGCAGGCTGGGAAGCATTTAAAATTACCCACACCTGAATTTTTCTTTTTGAGTTACTAATTGCTCAAAGTACTTTTCATTAAAAAAAAATTTTTTTTTTAACGTTTATTTATTTTTGAGACAGAGAGAGATGAGTATGAACAGAATAGGGAAAGGGTGTGAGAGAGAGGGAGACACAGAATCTGGAACAGTTCTCCAGGCTCGAGTTAACAAGACAGATCGACGCCTGGACCACCAGAGATCATGATTCTGAAAGTCAAGCTCCGCCGCTTAACCCACCAACAAATCACCACCAGGCTCACTCTAAAAAGTACTTTTCTATGTAAAACAGGGGCAGCTGGTTCGCCCAGCCTGCTGAGCATCCGACTTGGGCTCAGGTCATGATCTCATGGTTTATGAGTTTGAGCCCCACACTGGGCTCACTACTCTCAGCACAGAAACCAATGTCCTCCTCTCTCTGGCCTTCCCCCGTTTGTGCATTCTGTCTCTCTCTCTCTCAAAAATAAATAAATATTTAAAAATAAAATAAAATAAAATAACACTGAGGCACTCATGCCATAGAGACTGTACATTAAAAAAAAAAAAAAGAGAGAGAGAGAAAGAAACAATAAGCAATAACCAAACTTGCAGTTCTGTAATGAAGTCAAACCTACCTAGTGGCTTTACGAATGTCAACATAGGGATTTGGTGAATCAAATAACCGTACACATTCAGGATCAAGATTATGAAATCCCTTTGCTGATTCCCTTGGCAGAGTAAAACAGCAAGGTCCTACTGAAGGTCCCAGTACAACAATAATGTCTTCCAAACTACAGCTGTATTCTGTGATCAGAGCATGCACTGTAGCCATAGCAACACCTAACAAAGTACCTCTCCAACCTGGTAAATAGGAAGAAAAAAAGATAAGGGAAGTTAAAATGTAACATTGCACCTTAATTTATATCTAACTTAAAAATGAACAGTTTGTGTATTTTTCAAAGTCCAGAAACAGCAAATAAATCACAAAATTAATTAAGCTAAATAATCAATTAACTAAAATACTGGTTTTTAAATAAGGTATGTTATGCAAAGCACCTGACATAGAAAACATATTTAATGGGAGGTCCCTTCCACTTAAAAATATTCTACAGCTTCAGTTTCCACTGGGATTATATATAACTTGTTAGTATTCTCTCTCCTTCACTTTTTTCAAATTTTTTTAAATTGTGGGAAAAAATATGTAAAATAAAATTTACCATTTTAACTCTTTTTAAGTGTATACTTCAGTAGTGTTAAATACGTTCATCTTGCAAAACTGAAACTCTATACCCATTAAATAACAACTCCCCCTCACCACTTTCCCCTCGCCCTGGTACCCACCATTCTACTTTCTGTTTCTATGAATTTGCCGACTATAGATAAGCCATGTAAGTGGAATCTTAAAAGTGTCTCTTTGTGACTGACTTATTACACTTAGCATAATGTCCTCAAACCCCTCATTCAGGTGTCAGGATTTCCTTCCTTTTTAATGCTAAATAATATTCCATTGTCTGTATATATCACATTGTGTTTATCTATTCATCCATCTGTGGACTCTTGGATTGCTTCCACCTCTTTGCCATTGTGAATCATTCTGCCATGAGTATGGGTGTGCAAGTATCTTGTCAAGGTCCTGCTTTCAATTCTTTTGGATATACCCAGAAGTACTGGATACCAGGACTTCTACCTAGAAGTAGAATTGCTGGATCATATGGTAATTCTATTTAAAAATTTCTGAGGAACCATCATATTATTTTCTATAGCAGCTGCACCATTTTACATTCCCACTATTCCCACCAATAGTACATCAGGGTTCCAGTTTCTCCACATCCTTACCAAAACTTGTTATTTTCGTTTGTTTTTAATATTAGCTTTCCTAATGAGTGTGAGGTGGTATCTCATCGTAGTTTTGATTTGCATTTCCCTAATTATTAGTGACAGTAAGCATATTTCACATGCTTGTTGGCCATTTGCTTATCATATTTGGAGAAATGTCTAGTCAAGTCCTTTGCCTATTTTTCTGGGTTGTTTTTTTGTTGTTGAATTATAGGAGTTCTTTATACATTCTGGACATGAATCCCTTTTCGGATATGTGAATTGCAAATATTTTCTCCCATTCTATGGGTTGCCTTTTAACTGTGTTGATGCTCAGTTTGTAATTCTGATGAAATCCAATTTATCTATTTATACTTCTGTTCCTTGTGCTTTCGGTATCACATCTATAAAACCACTGCCTCATCCAAGTTCATAAGGATTTACACTGTTTTCTTTGATGAATTTTATAGATTTAGGTCTTACATGTAGGTCTTTAACCCAATTTGAGTTAATTTTTATATATGATGTGAGATAAGGGTCTAATATCCTTCTTTTCTAGGTGAATATCCAGTTTTCTCAGCACTATTTGTTGAAAAGACTATCCTTTCCCCATTGTATAGTCTAGGCACCTTGTTAAAAATCTTTTGACCATATGCAAGGGTTTATTTCTGGGACCTCTGTTCTGTTCCATTGGTCGATATGTCTGTCTTCTGCCAGTACCATACTGTTTTGATTACTGTGGCTTTATAATAAGTTTTGAAATCAGAGAGTGTCAGACCTCTGACTTTGTTCAAGAGTGTTTCATTTTGACAGCTTTAATCTTTGATATTTAAAAATAATGTTCCAGGGCGCCTGGATGGCGCAGTCGGTTAAGCGTCCGACTTCAGCCAGGTCACGATCTCACGGTCCGTGAGTTCGAGCCCCGCGTCAGGCTCTGGGCTGATGGTTCGGAGCCTGGAGCCTGTTTCCAATTCTGTGTCTCCCTCTATCTCTGCCCCTCCCCCCGTTCATGCTCTGTCTCTCTCTGTCCCCAAAAAAATAAACGTTGAAAAAAAAAATTTAATAAAAATAATGTTCCAAAACCTAAGAAGTAACAAATAAGATTTTTTTACATCCAGGAACTAAGACTCAAACGTTAAATAACATTTTGATAATGGCAAATCAAAATTTGACTTCTAGTCATCCAATCCCATAACTCTAGCTAGATCAAAAGAAAAATATGCCATTTTCTTATTTATCTTTTGTCTAAAAAGCAAAGTAGTCCTAGATTTACAAGCAGAAGGAAATCTGAAAGATCATCCCTTATTTCACATAGAGTAGTAACCACAGGATAATTTAAATAGCATTTTAAAATACCTTTAGAAAACAAAATTCCATAACCTTAACACAGCATCTAAAAATCCTTTGTTCTTATCTTTAGATAATAAAGGCCCTAGACTATAACGTATTAAACTAAACGACTTTTTCCAAACATATCTTGCTTTTTCTTACCTCCATACCTTTTACACATGCTGTTGTACCTCCCCCTTCATGAATACCTTTCTGCAACATGCTTAACCTTCCTATTCCCCATTGACCGGACTTCAAGGGTTCTCAACCAGAGGCAGTACCACTCCCTTTGGAATGTTCTGAAAAGCCTTCATGCTTTCTTTTTGTTGCTGCTTTTCTTACAACAACTGGGGGGGGGGGGGGGGGGGGGGGGGGGGGGGGCGGTGCTACTGGCATTAAGAATTTTGGAAGCCAAGCAAACTGCAATATAAGATTATCTTGCCCAAAATGTTAACATTTTGGCACCCCTGCTGAGAAACATTGGTACCTAATCAGGTCTTGCAAATTCCTCAGAAATCAGCCTGGTTACTGCTTCCTTTGGGAATTCTACTCTGATTCATATAATTTGACTTAGGTACTGCCCCCACCTGCTCCTATAATAAGAGTATGCTGGTTCTACCCCTTTATACTTAATACCATGTAATTAACTGTCTTGTAATGCACACCGTAAAGAAATTATAATTTTGCCTATACTACAAAATTGGTAAAACTTTAAATGCTTCATTAAGGATACTTACCAGAGTGAGCAACCCCACATGCTTTTTTGACAGGATCAGCAAAAACTATTGGTATACAGTCAGCACCAAGAGCTGCTATTGTGACTCCCCTCTGATTTGTGGTGATTCCATCGTAAGATTCAGGCTCCTTCCTTCCCATAATCCAGACGTCATTGGCATGATCAGTCTAATACCAAAGATGTGTGATAAAAATATTTTGAAAGGAGGATTTCTCATACCATAAGCTTTTCTGAAAATACTCTTTTTGTGTACAAAATTAAACAATCAGTTTAATATTACCAGCAAGCATTAAGTATATCACTTCTGTATGTGGTAAAATACCAAATTTACTTATCACTTAACTTTTGGTATTATAATCTCTGCATATTTTAGTCAAAGGAAAACACACTTTAACACTTAAAAATTTAATACTGTACATCACAAACATCTCCTACTAGAGATGAGTAAATCTCTACTTGCAGCACTTTCCAAAGAGTATTATTTAAGGAAAGAAGTTAATTACCAAATCAATGGTATTTTTACTTTTCCTGATTCAAATAAACCTAGCATTCTGTAAGGAACAAGGCATCCATTGTGACCCTAGTTCCTCCTAATGTTGATTTAGAAAATAATAGCCCTTTTCTCCCATCATTCTGGAATCTTCCTTCTGAATCAAAAAGGGCAGTGATACCATACCCTGAGAGTTAAAAGAACTTTTAGACATGAGTAGCTTCAGGTGAAATCTATCACAGAACTGATATTTAAGCTATAGAGTACAGATCTAAGAAAAACAACCATAAGCATTATCCTAACATTTTCAGTAAAACACCAGATGCAGAAGTTAAACAGCTTGATTAAAGTCCATGAAGTCATTAGCAGAGTTAAGAATATACTTTGCATCTTCTAAAACACGAAACAAAACTTTACCTTTATTTGGTAAAATTTCTCCACATCAAATCCTGCAGCATTCCCCAACCTACGCAGATTTTCTTGGACAACAACCTTGGGATCCCTCCGTTTGGAACTACTGAAGAGATTGAATGAGCTAAGAGTTGGTATGTAAGATATTCCACCTGTCCTTGTAGTAAATCCATGCAAGAATATATCTATCGAATAGAAGTAGTGAAGATTAAAAATATGCTATACAAAGACTATAGAGCATTACCAACCCAGTCTCACAGTAAGACTTTCCCTGATCACCTCAAGCTGCATGTTTTTCTGGCTTCCAATTTCTACAGCACTGTGTACCTCCATGTATTCTTGTTATACACGATTTGTGTTTGCTCTACCTTCCCCATGGGACTATTGCTTTTCAAAGGGTATCTTCTGTCCCATTTGTCTTTGGTATTCCTCATAGCATACAGCTCACAGTAAGTATCATTTAACCAAGAGTAAGATGGACTCTTAAATTTCATTCTTCTGTCTAAACGCCAATGACTTAAGGTTCCAGAATTTCTAAATAGGAGATGCTTAGGGTCATAAATCTCATTTTAAAGGAAGCCTGGGGGATTTGTCTTAAAGCTGAATTTGCACAAAGCAAATTTATTTATTTAGGGTGGCTCTGAAGGGACTGTCCCTCGACACTGCTGACACTACAAGGCCATCCCTGATACTCCCATGTTGCAGCTGATGCCAATGAGCTTATAAACCCTACAGTCTACAAAAGAGAGGAAGGGGAAAAAGGTGACCAGCCTCTAAAGAAAGACTGTTTTTTTTCATGTATACAGTAAGAACAACACAGTGTTTAATATACCTGAGATTAATGGAGATGTGATAATGGTTAATTCTCCTTTCAGAGCTGGCAGACTTCTCAAATATGTTTTTATTTCATTCTGGATTGCTTCTTGTTCTTGATCTGTGATCATGTTTATTTCAGTGGACTGTTTCACAAGACCTCCCCTCAAAGTCACCTGTAAATCTTCAAACTCAAAATTGTAAACGTTGGTGAAGAGTTGATCAATAAAAGCTTTCAGCAATGTCTTCCGGTGCTTGGGTACAATTACCTTAATGCTGCTCAAGTTTTTTTCATCAATTTTTTGTTTAATGGTATACAAAGAGGCAGCCATACTAGGATGGCTAACAGTCTCAAACTCTCTCAAGAGAGCTGATAATCCATTGCTTGCTTCCAATTCAAAGTTATGTTCCCCATCCCTTTCACAGCTGATGCTATTACAACACATTATGCAAAGAAACTTGGCCTTGGCAGCATGATGGTATCGGACAGCATTCAGTGTCTTCAGTAATACCTGGTGACTGTTTTTCTGAGAGTTAAATTTCAAACCAAAGAAATCAATCAACACTGCTTCTGCCATCCTTCAATAGGGTACGCAGCCCTTCAAACACTTCTGTGCCTCCTAAGAAATCACCTATAAAGAAAAATTAGCCTAAGAATGCAAAATTATATCAACCTTCTTATAGTTACAACAGAAATTTGTGCCTACATCAAAAAAAAAAAAAAAAAAAAGGTTCACGGATCTAAAAATGTAGTAAAATAGTAAATCTAGACTTCTCCCATTAAAGCCAGTCCACTATCTGTCCTACGTGAACCATGAGAGGAGAACCATCTTTTAATTTGTTTTGTGAAAGTATTTGTACATCTTTTCAGCAGGACTACAGTTCCTGTGTGTGTGTGTGTGTGTTTGCACACAGCAAGTTTTAAGTAGGGAATTACTTGTTGACTTAGACGAAGCCTTGTTTTTTAATTACAGGGTGTCAGTTTATGTTATACACATCATTAATCTTGATGTGACTGGCATATTAGGTCACACCTCTTCATATGACACATTGGGGCCTTAAGTTCAACAGATTAAATGGAGCTGCACTAAAATTCACGCTTTTAAGGGGATAACAGCTGAGACGATCCAGGATTTACAAAGCACTCCAAGTAGGGCAATGGGCACAAAGACTACCACGATTTGGATCAGACGCGCTGCCTACCCTCTTGCTTACTCAGGGCCCAGGCCCCGCCCAGAGTGGATCTTCACCCCTCCAGCCCCAGCACTCCCACCCCAGGGCCTCCGCTTTCTCTTCAGGGGCCGCTCCCAACCTCCACTCCATACCGTACTGGGCTCCCGCTGAAGTTCACCTCGCCAGTTTTGAAAAACATTGAGAGAAGCTAGGAGGGTGATGGCCTCCTTCCCCTCTGCCTTGGGAAATGCCGCAAAAAGCGTCTGTCCCGGCCCGGTCCCACGCTCGGTCTCCACCTGCCCGAGCTCCACCACCGCCTCTTCCCCGCCCCTTTGGCACTTCCTGACATACGGACGTGCACCGTAGGCAGTTTTCCCCGTGCCGCCTGCCCACGCTCCGCTTAGACCTATACTCCCAGTCTGCTGCGAGCTCCGAAGCGCCCGGCATCCACCACCCCAGCCCGGAGCCAGGACGGAACCCGGAAGCCGCGAGCTGGGCACCTGGAATCCTAAGCCCCGCCCCGCGGCCCCGCCCACTGCGGCGCCCGCCCCACCTCACCCACCTCACTGCCTACCAGCCGCGGGGTGGCGTGCCGGTTTTGCGTGGACTCGACGGCCGGGGGGTTCCGCTGTTGCAGAGGCCCGGGCCGGCCAGGCCGGCGAGCGGCACGGAGGCACGAGCGAGTTCGAGGGAGAGGGCTAGGCACCAAGCGGCCACGGCGGGCCGAGCCCCGGCGCGGGGAAAGTCCGGGAAGAGCCGAGAGCCGGCCCCCGCGGCCACCTCAGTAGTTCCGGGTCAGCGCGGCCCGTCGAGGCCGTCCTCCGCCGCCCTGTCTAGGCAAGAGAAACAGGAACCGGGGCCCTTTGGCCGGAGCCAGGCGGGTCAGCGGGCGGGGGCCAGGGCGGCGGGCCGTGAGGGGGAGCGGGCGGGCAGCCAGACTGGGGGGCCCGTGCGAGGAGCTGGCCGGCGGGAGGCCGGACCCGTGAGGGGAGCGGGGCGGCTGGTCGATTTGAAGGCCCGTGAGGGGAGCGGGGCGGCGGGGAGGAGGAGGGTCCGCGAAGGGGCGGGCTGGCGGGCTGGCCCCTGTGCGGGGTAAGGCGGGAGAACGTCGTGGGGAACCAATCGCAGACGCCATTCTGTGAATGGATTCCGTCTCCGGGAGTGGGCTTCCCCAAATCGGCACTCCCATCCCGCCCAAGAAGTCCCGGACCAGCTGTGTGAGCCAGAGTTTTGGTTTCATTCCTAGAGCCCAACCCTGAAAACCTCCTATGGTTCAAGTAATAGGCCTTCTTGGGGCGGGGATTTGGTTTGTTGTTCTTGCTGTTTTTTTTTTTTTTTTTTATGTTTGTTTATTTTTTAGAGACAATGTGCCAGCAGGGGAGGGGCAGAAGGGGGGTGGGGCGGAACAGGATCCAAGGCGGGCTCTGGGCTAACAGCGGAGGGCATGATCTGGGCTGGAACTCACCAACCCGGAGAGCAAGACCTGAGCCAAGGTCAGATGCTTATCCCACGGAGCCACCCAGGCGGCCGCTTGCTGTTGTTTTTTACAGTGTGTTGTTTGTTCCCGGAAACAACTTGGTTGAACCTTCCTTTGCCTTTTTGCTGATTCCGCCTTACTTGCTGACGGGACCAAAACTCCATACAGCCCCTTGTACTGACTTTTTTGTATGCCCGTTTAAAAATATGAGCCCCTAGTAGAACATTAGAAGGCAGTGACTCTTAGAAATGTAATAAATTAGCATCCCTTATCTAACCTCGAAGAGGGTAACAATCATTTAAAAATATTGAACAGCTGCTACATGGAAGGCAGATGCTATGGTAAAGGGAGAGTCAATCCGACCTTCACGGAGTAGGAGAAAGGGTGCTTCCTGTGGAACTGGTTATGATGGAAGGAGAGGTCCCTTTTGTCTTCATTGTTGCTTAGATGATAAATGCTGAAGAAATTTAACCTGAAAGAGAGAGCCTTACATATCTGGGAGTTTAGAAGAGCATTTGGAAGTGGGCAAGTGCCTCCATTCTATTTAACTAGGTGATGGGATCACCAGCCCAGAACAGGAACTTGCTGTTTAGTATCCCTGGCAGGTGTTCTGTCCAAATTTGTATTTTCATGATTTTTGTTGGACATTTGTTAAAAACCCTGAGTGGTAGATGGTACACTTGATCAGAAGGTGCACTCTGCTCTCTGAGTTTTATGTTAAGTGTTACCTTAAGTAAAATAGAAATCTTTGAGTTACAAAGCTGGTTTAAAACGTTTATCCCTGTTTTTATAGACAATGGTGGGAATTCATTTTCTTTTCCTGAAACAGTAGTGGCAGTCAAAAGTTTAAAAATATTTCAGGGGCGTGTGGGTGGCTCAGTCGGTTAAGCAGCCGACTAGGGCTCAGGTCATGATCTCCCCCTTGGAAGGTTGGAGAGTCGAGTTCCCTGCATCAGGCTCTGTGCTGACAACTCAGAGCCTGGAGCCTGCTTCAGATTCTGTGTCTCCCTCTCTCTCTCCGCCCCTCCCCTGCTCGTGCTCTGTTTCTCTCTCAAAAATAAATAAACGTTAAAAAAATTTTTTTAATGTTTCAAAATAGGGAAGCTACCAGGAAAGAGAGAGTTTGTCATCTTGTATTTACATACTATTTCCTTTCACCAGTTGTTCCTAGACTACTATCTAGCCTCATCTCCTAACTCTCTTCCTTCATCCCGGTTTACCCCACTCGGGTGGTTCTTAATCCTGGCTGCACCTCAGAACTACAAGTAGAACCTACAAAAAAAAAAAATAAATAAATCTAGGGACTCCACTCCATATACATTTAAATCAGAATCTCTGGGAGTCAAGTCTGGGCTTGTTTTTCCCTGCTATTTGTTTTCTTTTAATGTGTACAGATGATTCAGATGCATAATTAGGTTTGAAAAAACAAATGCCTTATTCCCAAGCCATTTAAACTAAAGGCTGTTCCTTGGATGAACTACAAGATTTTTATCCTTTACATTTGCTATTCCTTTTACTTAGAACACGCTTCTCTTTTGACACTTATTTATTTGCTGCTTATTTAAGATCTTTAAAGCCAATCATAACTTTCCTTGAGTCCCCATCCCCTCACCAGACAGAATTAATTGCTTCTTCCTTAGCATTTTGTTCACACAGAAGAAGCCCTCTCATTGATGTACTCTGGACCCATAACCTACTAATAAATTGAAAAAGTCAATTAAACATTGAAGGTATTATTCATATTTTTTTATTTTTTAAATATTTTTAATATTTGTTTATTTTTGAGTGAGACAGAGAGTGGGCAGGGGAGGGGCAGAAAGAGAGAGAGAGAGGGAGACAGAGAATCCAAAACTGGCTCCAAGCCTTGAGCTGTTAGCACAGAGCCTGACTCAGGGCTTGAACCCATGAACCATGAGATCATGACCTAAGCCGAAGTCAGATACTCAACCTACTGAGCCACTTAGGTGCTCTGAAGTGTAAACTTTATAAGAATGAACTTGATAGTATATGACTTTTCTCTAAATAAAGCTTTTTTAAAAAGTTTATTTATTTTGAGAGAGAGAGAGAGAGACAAAGAGCACATGCAAGTGGGGGAGGGGCAGAGAAAGAGGGAGACCAACAATCCCAAGCAGGCTCCAAGCTGAGTTCAATGTGGGGCTCTAACTCACTAATCCTGAGATCCCCACCTGAGCTACATGATCTGAGATGAAGTTGGATACTTAACCCACTGAACCACCCAGGCACCCCAAAGCTATTTTTTGTTTGTTTGTTTGTTTTTTGTTTTTGTTTTATGTGTTTTGGTCAGTTTAACCCGAGAGTCGTGATAGAAATATAACATAAATATCTTAAACATTTTGTTTTAGCCTAAAACAACTATATGCTCATTTGCCAAACTGAGAAAGCCATGGCGTTTTCTTTGAACAAGTTCTGCTGATTGGAGTTTTGTGTTGCATTTCTTTCATAAACTACACCTCTAAACCATCAGCAAAGATTTCCTAGGATTTTATTCCTTTAAGAGGAAAATAAAGGCACTTGCAGAGCTATCTGAGTGCAGATTTCTCCTTTATAATCTTTTATTGTGATCTCACACATTCAAACAACTCACAGTTTGGGGGTCTTTCCAGAATATTAAACATTAGATTTTAAAGAAACAATGAAATTTATTTCCACACTATTTCATCGCTTTACATATTACTAAATTATGAAAGCAGAATAACAAGTACAACTGGCATAAACAGGTTTGGGAACAAACACAGGTAACTCACTGTCAGATTGTACTGATAGGAGCAGAAGTAGACAGATTCACGGGAGAGTAGTTTCCTAATCAGCATGATGTGGGAATTAGCAGTTTATGATTTATAAAGGAAATAGAATGAGTTAATTGGTTAGAGTTTTTAGTGTAAGTAGACTAAGAGAGCAACTACTATA